TCTTCTCCAGTCTGTGTACAAATTTTCGACATGCAAATAGCGAATGGTAGGGTTTAACTTGTCATATAAAATATAACTTGCACGGTGTTCGCCTGCAAACTGTCTCAGGCGGAGCCAAGTTTAAAATCGAGTCCTGTCTTTCTGTTGGATGGTGAAAAAGGTCGGTCCCTATGCGTAAATAATCATATCTGATTAATACATGTCTGTAACACTCAAATAACACATGACTGACTTCGAATCATCGGATCACCGCGTTGGGTCGGGTGGCCGCTTTACCCGACCTTTTGGTGAAAACTCCCCCTTTTTAGTTTTACCGAAATATTGGGGGTAATGTTTTTTTTTCCCCCAACTCAGCACATGATAACAAAAAAATTGCATTCGTTCATACAATGCCTCTACATTACCTTTCTTTTACTGGTGATGCCACATCACGTCTGACATAGCAACTCCTGTCAGGTGTCAGCTCTGGTGAAGCTACACCTCACTGTCTCTTGTTAGCTCACTAGTGATTGGCAGATGATGTTACAAAATGAATGAGATCTGGAGCATTGTGTTAGGGTGGAGCTTAGTTAGCAGGTCTGAGAAATTATTTGTAACCATAATTAAAAATCTATAAAATATATTAAGATGTTTGAAAAACAAAACGTGAGTTGTATGCAGCCCAATAGGAATCAACCTATATTTGGATGTCATCCGACCTTTAAAGTTTATTGAAAGCGTCCCCTCGTCTTCAATGGAAATAAAGGACATTCTTATAGGAGCTTACACATCATGCATCGCCTGCAGTGCATACCTGAGCAGAATCAGGTAGTGTTCATCAAAGGCATCCAAGCTTGGGGAAAGAGCTCCATTCAGTTATCTTTTTCGTTTTTTTTTAGTTATTTGTATTTATTGACAGGGTGCTTTAAAGACCGTCAGTACTAGTTTGGCTGAGAGGGATTAGACCACACAGCGAGGTCACTGACATGTGGCTATCTCATCTACTCAGCTCTCAAATAACATAAGAAATAGAGGATCATGGGGGACCAACAGGCACCGATTGGGGAAGTTTTCTATATAGAGGGAGCAAGTAGCTACAGGTAGGAGAGTGGGGCTTTAATATCAGGTATATTGAATGCTCTGTTTCAAATACAGTCAAGATTGCCAATCCACGAATTATCTCCTGCTTCTTGTCCTAAAACTAAAGTGTGGCTAACAATACCGGTCGCAGGCTACGTTATATTATGTACTGCATCAAAGATTCCCTTGCCAGTTTTAAAACAATTTCTTTTTTTACCCAATTTTTTCCAATCTTTTCAATAAAATTTCAGTTTGCTTATTAGTGTATAATTGATGTATAGGCGTCTTCTTAAGTATTTCATCTTAAATAGAAAAGGACCAAGGTTAACATACACCCGTGTTGCAGTCTTGTGTTTTATCTGTTTCCGTCATTTTTTTTCTGCTTCTTTATCGTTTTTAAACCATCCGTGTATGGGCTTAACTTCCACTTTTAAAAAAAGAATGAGAGAGAGAGAGAGAGAGAAAGAGATTCAATGCTAATGGGTACGCTTGATTTGTTTGTTAGTAAATAGGCAAGAGAAGCCCATGATCCGGTGATAGTCGCACTAGACTGATTAGTAAGGTAAATGAGTGATGACCTACCACTCGCTCCATCAATACATCTTTTAACCTTGGGAGCCCATACATTATGGAGAAGATATCGCCCCCTCATCGAGTAATTGACAAAGTCATAACATAATAATGTTCTCGCAGGCCTTTAATGGAAAGCGGTGATTTCTCTTTGATATACTATTGTATTTTTCTAATATATTGAATTTGTTTATCAGCTTAATAACATCAATCCTCAAAGCGAGCATATTTCCCATTCTCTTTCATGAGAACACCCACAATATTGTTCAAACAATAGCCAAATCAAACTTTGTACAACCCACGATCCCAGAGTCCTCAGCAGGCTAACATCTTATCCATGCATCGAAGTTGTCGCAAAACTTTCATATCATTCGATTTAAGAATATACATTAAAAATCCTGTACTTGCATATACCGTGTGAGTCAAAAACAGTTTACACCTAGAAAAATGCAAATTATTTTAAAAATTATCTATGAACAGTAAGTTATTATACATCTTATGAAAGAGTGTTTTATCCCAAATCGTTTGGTACCATTTATGTGTGGTATGTGTTCACGCTTGGATGAACAGGTGGCATTGTTTGCGAGAGTGCAAAAATCGATTTTTAAAATGATTATCAATTTTCTAGGTGTAAACTTTTTTTTGACTCACTCTGTATAGGCACTAAATGCATTTAAAACTTCTATCAGAGTCTATTTATGGATATCTTCTTTGGAAGTTAACCTAGTTACAGTGTATTTCTCTTTTTTTCCCTAAATAGATTCGCGTTAACCCGTTTTTATGAAGAGAACAAATTGGGAATGAAAGTGTTTTCATCTCCGTTTTCTGTCCTAAACTTGACCAAGATATTTTCGTGATTAAATAGCAAGGCAATGAATGATTTCTCCTCTTTTCAGAGAATATTTTTTTTTCAGAATCTATATTTCTCACTCTCTGTAAGTAGTTTCTTCACAATATGACCGCTGCTATGAACCTATACCAAGGAGTATACTCTGTCAGCATTTCTATTACATTATGGTGAACTTTAGAATCGAGGTTTCCAGCATTCAATTAAAATTGAAATCGAATTTAAGCATTTATTATCCATTCGGAAATGAATCAGTTTACCGAAGAAAAAAAACGTAATCATAATTAAAGCATGGTAAAATACAGTCATAACAGCTTTAGATCGGTAAGTTGAACACAATATCAGTTGTGTACGATCAGGATGCCGACACAGAGAGAGAGAGAGAGAGAGAGAGAGAGAGAGATAGAGTAGAAGCGGACCAAAGGTAAACAGAGGAGGTGGATGGAGCAGTGAAGAAAAGATTGAAAGAGAGAAAGAGAGAGAGAGAGAGAGAGAGAGAGAGAGAGAGAGAGAGAGAGTGAGCCAAGAGTTACAGGAAATATGAAATGTAGTTTAGCTGCGTAGAATGATCATATTGAGGACAAATACATATTTCGAGTTCAATTAATGCCATGGACAACGTTAACATCATAAATGATAATAAACAGGGAAGGAAAACAGAAGAATTCTAAGGTAAGCCTATAGTGAACAATCAGTGCGAGAATTGTCAAAGATTCTGAGGTGAGAGAAAAGCAAGAGTCAAACGAAATAAATAATCAAGTTTACAAGAAATGAGGTCCTAGATCTATAGAATATTTGTAAAATTGTGCGAATAGGGACGAGAGAGAAAGAGAGGGAGACAGACAGACAGACAGAGAGAAACAGAGAGAGACAGAGAGACAGAGATAGAGACAGACAGAGGGAGAGAGAGAGAGAGAGAGAGAGAGAGAGAGAGAGAGAGAAAAGAGAGAGATAAGGAGAGAGAGTGAGAAAGCTGAGATGGAGAGGGAGGAAGAAGATGATTGTAAATTATTACAAAACAGGCTAATACCAACAAAAAACAAAAGAAAAACAATTGAATTTACGTTACATCAAGGAGGAATCCATGTTTTAAATTCTAAATTCGCCATAATCATAATTAGTCATGATTATCCTTTAAAGAACTCATACTCATTTCATAAGTCAACGTATTACATCCTCACAGCTACCTATGTAGTTTGGCAAAGTGTTTCTTACAGATTTTTTAGATAATGAACTTTTCACTTTCCATAAATGAAACGTGTTGCAAAGCCGAGTATTATGAGAATGAATTTGGTTATTGACCGAGAACATGGATGATGATCATTTTGGAAGTATATTTTGAAGAAGAAATGAAAACCAATTAGAGTAGCATGGTATTTGAATAAATCAAAAACATTTAGGGTTTTTAAACTAAAAAATAAGGAGCAGAATGGGCATAATAATCACTACCCTCACTCATGAGTCTACGACGTCATTGCCTCACTATCCATCAACTGTTTTCTTTGTATTGATAATATAAATTTCCTATTTCCCCCTAAGAATCTTATTTTTTTACACCAGCATCCAAGTCAGATTGATAGTAATATTTTTTTGTGTGGGTGCACTAATTTAGAGTAATTTTGATCATTTGAATCATGAAATATGTGAATTTTGATAAACTATTTATATAAAAATCAATAATTATGGATATAATAGTATCAATTCTTCAAAATTCATAACAGATTTTGTGAAATGTCATGCACGCAAAATTCATAACTTTCTTAATAGTTTTCCGATTTTGATCAAACCTTTTTTTGATTGGTTTGTCTGATTGTTCTGCGTCTATTGTAAGTAAGTTATTTTTGGAGTGGACTTTAATAGCTATTTCGTTATGCAATTTGACAGGGAGGAAATAATTAGGTTTCCCAAAATGTCCCCGCATAGACCTACAGAAGGGCGGATTGTACCCCCCCCCCCCCCCCCCTCCTCCGACAGTCTATACACATCATCCTAAATTTCAGTTTCAACGAGGCCTTACAACATGGCATGTGCATCCATCAAGAAGCCCACATATGAACACATTCCATGATGAACTTGACCAACATCGTTAATTATCTTTAAAAATTGATTTTCCGCACTCCTGTAGCCAGCTCTCGCCTCACATAACTCTCGTTTTTCATATACGTCATGAATTGCCATAGGGTAAATTAAAGATCTTTCCTTTGTCAAGTCAGTCCATATCTTGTTCACCTTCAAACGTTTTACTCAGATTATCATTTTCGCACCTTTTATATATTTTGTATAAAAAGATAAAATATAAAGTCACGTCTTGAAGACTTGGTTACATTATCTATATTCCAAAAGTTTAATGACTCTCTGTAATAAATACATGTACACACAAAAATGTTCCTGAGCGCATATATGTTATCACTATACTTTCTCTTCAATGTGCATACACTGAAATGTAACACAACTACATGTACCACAACCAGACAACACTCCATTGGATTCACCAACGAAATAAACAAACTAAATACATCTTGCATTGGTCTAGAAAGCATTTTATTTTCAAAAACATCAGTAAAACGAAACACAAAAATCCCTATCAACATATTACTACATGCCCTTATGAGAATGAGAAAAACACAAATCACAGGAATTCATGAGGAGAATACAAAACTACCCAGAATTATGATGCTTCCTGCCTTTCACAATACAGCTACACAAGCGGGTGAAGGAATTTAAAATGAGCCTACATGTTCCACTTTTTAATTCTTTAAGATTTGTGGGAATCACATTTGATTCAATGAACCGTTGGATTTGAATATACAAGTATACTAACTATTTAATATCTACAGATATTAAAAATTGAACATGAAACACTAGAGTTTTTATGCTTGTTTCACATAAGATATGACACTCATATCTCTTATACCAGGAAGTGGATTTTACATGTAACTAGTTCTCCATAAATTTGCACTTTATGTGTTTAATTTGCAGGTATACAATATTCAATTCTCATTATGGTCATGATTCCCATCTTATCCATAATGGAACACTAGAGTTTGTAATGCTTGTATCACATAAGGTATGACACTCGTACCTCTTAAACCAGAAATTGGATTTTGCATACAACTAGTTCTCCATAAATTTGCACTTTATGTGTTTAATGTGCAGGTATACAATCTCAATTCTCATTATGGACCGTCATGATTTCCATCTTACCCATAATCAAATCCAGCTGCCATTCGGGTAGTTCAGTTAATAGTATGGAACCACAGCTCGTGTAACGAAGCCATTAACAATAATTGACTGTAAATACCCTTCTACTGATAATGCTGCATATTTAATGCATCTGTGAACATGTCTATTTTTCCCAGAAGAAAAGAAAAATGGGGAAGAAAATCGTGCAAATCTCCATACATAATAACACAGGCGCAAAGTAAATAAAGTAAAAGTGGTACAAAAAGCATTATTATCAATGGAAAATAAACTTGATTTGAAAGTTGAATTTGCGAGACATTCTAGAGCAAACGCCATGAGTGTCTATCGGAGACGATACTGGCGCTAAACAGGAAACCATCATTATCATAAATGAGCCTAAAATGGTCATATGTATGTACAGACCAAATCACTAGCTAGAGAGGAGTAATGCTTATGATTCAATGTCAATACTTTCATGAAAGCGGTTACTAATCATCAAATTAAAATGACATGCTTCTTCATAATGTAAGACATGTCGATTGGTATAAATAGTAGTCCTTGTTCAATATAAAACCTACTCACACATCAGACCATTTTGATAATTGATGCATTATATAATGTGGCACTCAGGAGCAAGAAGAGATTTCAAACATTCCAGAAAGCAATACCATGCTATGAGAGTGTACTCAAAATACTACAAGATCATGTACACATACAGTATAAGTGTAAGTCACATGCGGTTGATAGAAATGAGTGGGAAGTTTCAAGCAAAAGATGTTCCTGTTGAGAACGTAACTTGCTAAACACACGCAGAACACAAGTAGAACACAAGAAGAACACAAATAGAAAACTACACGTGGACTGTGAACACTTCCAAATACTGTCATCATCTTAAAATTAATAAATGTTGCTATTTTCTAGGCAATATCGTACAAGCAAATGCCTTATCTTTTTTGTAATTTTGCATCAATATATGCTTCTGAAAAAAGAGATAGTTTCATAAGGTAAAGTACAATATGCTGTATTGTATTTGTATGAATTTGTTCAGCAACTCTCATATCTGTTCTTGGTTACGAGTCAATGGTGAAATACGTGTACATTACCTCTCTTTGAACAATCATGAATATTTCAATACAAAATCTTGCTTACAATGACTACAGTTAAGTTTACAATGAGTGAATGATTGATAGAGAATGTGTGGCTGGCATTGGGAGAATCATCAGAAATCATAGTGAAAGTAAGGCATTGAGAAAACAATCTTTGAAACAAGATAGAGTCTATAAGAGTTCACCTGCTGACATGTATGTCACTGCAAAGGAGGTTTCTATAACAGAAAAATAAAACACCCAAACTTGGCGCCTAATAGCTTCACCATGCCAATATTGTCTCTAATTACATCTTACATGTATTTTGCAATGCCATGTAGAGATCACATACAAAATTGAATTTGAAGATAGTTAGTAGTAAGAAACTCATATTGACTAAGTAAATTAAAGATTAGATTGCAAAGAAAAGATAGATGAGCATAATATCATGGCTACTGAATTCACCTGTTAATCTTGCTGCAGCTTTGAAATACATATCCATATAAACATGCATGTAACATTGAAAACATATTGAAAGAGGGACACTAACAAATCTACAATGAGGGTTTTAGAGCTGCACCCAACAACTCACAGCAATTAGGTATCGCATCGTCAGCTCATTCAAAATTGATTATTACTTTCCGATTTCTCCTTGGGTGAAGAGAACGATTCTTAAAATTCTCGTCTGTGGTACTTATCCACGTCATAGAAGGATGTTACAACAGTGCGATTGGCAAACTTTCGACCAGCGAGGGCTCTCTGGGCTGCCTGGGCGTCCATAACGGTCATGAACTCCACATAGATCTGTGAGAGATAAAACAGACATCAATATTTAAAACAATTGATAAATAATATATAAATATTTCTGTAAAACCTTTATAACATAAACTGATACTGCATGCAAAATGTTTAGCAAACCAATTATTTATGAACTAAGTAATTTTTTATATAAATATATCTTTTTTTCAATGCTACATGTAATTTTATGCCCAAATTAATTGACTGAAATGTGTCTCGTCATCTGAAATGTAACACGGAGGCCTAAAAGGATAACATGCTTCCCATTTTTTAGATATTCATGGTCAGGTGTTTTTCCTTTTATTTACCAAGACGTGCATTAAAAGATAATGATATATATCAATCTAATACAATGAGCATCCTGTTCATATTAAAGGGATCCGGAAACTTTGTCTCAGATTCTGAAACAAAATCCTGGATTTAGCTCATGCTGCAATGATAATTATAAACATTTAGGTCAGTCAGGAACCCCATGACTTATACAAACCGATCGCCTGTCTGATTATCAAGATATTCATGATTGGAATTACAAATTTTTAAAACCGTTTGCCAAACGGTTTTTCATAACACTACAGTCTATTGGGCGAAACAAGTATGGTAAAACCGGTCACTCAAAGAACTTTACTTTTTTGAGGCCCTTCTTGATCATTTTGAAGCGCAATTTTTTTTAGGGCTTCAATATTACACCATATCACGGACACTGAAAACACATAGGGCCGTGCTTCTCAGATTTAACATTGTTAAACGATCCCTTTAAGTACTGAAGTAATGTAAAGATAGAATTACCTTTCCGCAACCAGGGACATCTAGTCCAGGGATGGGACGTGGGATCTCTAGACTACGAACTTGACCATACTTCTGGCATTCCTCCTTCACATCCTCTACAATGTCTGTAAAACAAAGAATAATGTTAGAGTGTACTGTCAACATCAGACTTACGTTATCAACATCACCATCATCACCATCATCATCACCATCATCATCATCATCACCATCATCATCATCATCACCACCATCATCACCATCATCATCATCACCATCATCATCACCATCATCACCATCACCATCATCATCACCATCATCATCATCATCACCACCATCATCACCATCATCATCACCATCATCATCATCACCATCATTACTATCATCACCATAATGATCATCTACAGCATTATTGTCGTCGTCACTAACACAATCATCATTACCACCATCATCGTAGCTCATTATCAATCTCATCGTCATCACATCTCTGTCAAATAATTGAACTTTTTGAAGATAATTTACAACAAAATCATTCTTTATAGATGGCATGTATAAATCCTAAGATTTCCATCAATAAACTAAAATATGTAAAGGAATAAACATAATTTACCATCATATTCTTCATCATCTTTGAGTTCTTCAGGAGTGACCATGTTCATAAGACATAGGATCTCTGTGTTAGGCCCTGTAGTACCAGGTAGTGATAAACCAGGAATGTTGATCTGGACCTGTTGACCCTGTCACAGAGCAAAGGAACGAGAGATGCATAGTTTGAGTTTTATGCAAACAATATCAGTTATTACAACAACAACAAGAAGCAAAAACAAGAGCATTGATGACAGAAAAAATAAAAGCTCTAGCGAGCTGTGTGGCTTCATACACTTAACAGAATGTTTTGTTTTAAGATAGAATATAGAGATCCACAGAGAAAATCTTCTTTCATTCACCATCGTAATGTAAAACCAGAAGCTATGTGTGCAAGAAATGTTCATGAGTTTCGTGATAGGTTGAGATTTTGCAAGTTTTACATAAGTCATACATGTCAGGGAGTGACACTAAATCAATTTACAAAGTTTCTTGCTGCATAATGAAGAATTTCCCCACATGTTGTGTGTTTACCATCAAGAGACAAAATTGCTTATATCATAGAGCTATACCAAAAAGCCTTTCTTCTCACCAAATTCGGATTTCAATGAAAGACAAGGTCAAACAGACCTTCAGGTAATCTTTTTTTTCAGACACAATTTTGTTCAGTTTTTTTTTACTGTAATGTCTGTATATAGTGACACTCACTTCCCAGTCATAACTGCACATAATCCTTCAAAGTAAATCTCAGTCGATTCACTGAATCTCCTCCAAATTAAGATGACTAAAGGCTTAGAAAGGTCAGATAACAATACTGAAGACGAATAAGTGCCATTCACTAATACAGCAATCCTATTAGCAATAATCCTAGCTATTCATCTTCAATCATGCATTGATCGCATCCATGCACACGTAAAGAATCATCAGCTAAAAGTACCTGGTTCATGGCATTCTTGGCACCAACGCTGGCTCTCTGTACAATCAACTTCTTCTCACCTAGCTGCATACCATTCAGTCCAGCTATAGCCTGTAGTAAGAGAAACCAAAGGTAGTGCTATGGACATCTCCACCTTACATGGACAACAGAGTCGCTAAGGTACTTTGATATAAATAACTCATCGGCTGGCTGGCAGAAGGGCGTTAGTGACTCCAAAACTACTTTTCGAATTATTTGCATTTATAGATTTGTTTTATATTTAAACTGCTTTCTGTCCCGGAAATTGATTCAAAGCTTATCAACACTAGTGTGGCTAGGAGGGATTAGACCACACAGCGAGGTCACTGACAGGTGGCTATCTCATCAACTCAGCTCTCAAATAACATAAGAAATAGAGGATCATGGGGGACCAACAGGCACCGATTGGGGAAGTTTTCTATATAGAGGGAGTAAGTAGCTACAAGTAGGACAGTGGGGCTTTAAAACTTAAAAGACTAATAGAAATGTTATAGTAGAACACGGCCACAATTTTTTGGTGGAAATATGTCAGTTTTATAAAAGTATGAGGCGATTAAGTGCTAACGCCCTTCTGCTAAACGCTTCATTTTTTACGTAAAGTTCGAGCTAACGCCCTTCAGCCAGCCAGGCGACGAACTGTAAATCTAAAAAATAATCAAAAATACACTTACTTTATCCGTTGTTTCCCATCCCTGATAAAAGATAAAGTGGATAAAGCATACTAAGTTAGGCAGCAGAGGAAATGGGTGGATTGAATACTTGCATTACATACAACCAAATGAACAACATAACAATAACAAACAAACAAAATAGTGCAATATCAAACAAGAAAAAAAAACTTTGTATAATGAACCCAAGAAGTATTCAGGTAAGTACATCAAATTTTAAAGATTAAAATGGAGGTACAGGAAGAGAAAAATCCATTTCTAATACATGATATGAACATACACTTTTGGCTTTGTTTTTGTATGCTTATCTGTAGAATTCACATGGATCATTTCATTTATTTAAAGGCCAAGTCCACTCCAAAAATAATTTGCTCTTAATAGATGCAAACAAGAGAAACAGAGCAACACAAATTTACAAAAGTAATGAAGTTATACATTTTTGAAAAAGTATGAAAAATTATGGAACAATGGAAATCACTACACAAATTGCCAATTTGTTAATCAGTTTGTGACGTCATTGCCTCACTATTTATCAATTGCTTTATATATTTTTATCCCATTAATTTCCATTTTTTCAACAAAAAAAAACTTGGATTTCCCCATGCCTTTGCCCAGGTTATATGATTTGTATCGTATTATGTACATGACATTTCACAAAATCTGTTAAGAACTTTGAAGAATTTATATTATATTCTGAATATTTTATATTCATAATCATTGATTTTTATATGAATAGTTTATCAAAATTCTCATTTTTCATGATTGGATTGGTTTGTCAGATTTTTCTGCTTCTGTTGAAGTTATTAGGCCCCCCCCCCCCAAAAAAAAAAACATGTTTAGCATCCTGCTTTTTGAAAAATAGGGAGGAGGCCCTTTTTTTCCCCTTCAAAATGGCTGCTCGTTACATTTTCCATGAAAGTTGGGCTATTTTTCAAGATGGCCGAAACTTTTTTTTTTTTTTTTTTAATCAGAAATAGATTTATTTTAGCAGTTTTTTTAATGTTTTTTCTTTGAAAAATTTTCAAAAAAAATAAATAGGAGGATGCCCCCAAAAAGAAAGCGGGCCGGGGATGCTAAACATGTATATTTTTTAAATGGCCTTATTGGATAGGACTAAGTTTAGCTAGACTTACCAGATCAGTCAGATTTGTCTCAACGTATTCACAGAAGGCATATCCTTTGGAGAGTGATGTGGCACTGTCTTTAACCAAGTTGAAGGCTTTGAGAGGGCCAAAGGATGACAGGAGTTCCTTGACCTGTATAGCACATCACAGCCATCAGGAGAGAAAGAGAGAAGACAGGTGGTTAACCAATGCACTGCTTTTCTTCTTCTATTTATTCACTACCATGCTAGTCTCTCTCCTCAAAATCAGTCAAAGGTAAAGGACTTTTGAAAGCTGTCTTTAAAAAAATTGTTAAAAGCATGATGATTTTCACCAACCTGCATATTTGCAGGTTGATCATTTAATTTTGAGCTCCCCTTTACAATTTTCTGTTCATTTTCAAAAAATAAAAAAAATAAGTGTGAAACCTTCCTTTATTTGAATGCTTGGTGAGAATACTTTTATGAACACACTGGAACTTGTCCAAATCAAGATATGATACTTCTATGGCTTCTTGTAATTTCTCTATAAGACAACGAATTCACACACGACTGTTCATGTGCCATTATTTGTACAGCATCTTAGTACACTAAAGGACTTCTACATTGTAGACTAAACACATACATATGAATAACTGAAGAAATGATAAGCCTCAACTTTCATAACTCTTGTGCCATTTTGCAATCACTGTTACAGTATTTGTATGTTGTTTTAAGGCAAGAGTATCATGTATGTTGTTTGATTTTGTTTGTTTGTTTTTCTCCTGCTTCATATATGTTTTGATATAACAACTTGGTATGCTTAAGCCCACCCAAGCTTAAAGATAAGGTTGAGCTCTGGGGTGAGGTGAAAACTAATTTGTGAGCCTTTTCATTGTTATTATGCAAGTGTGGAAGAACATCAGAGAAAAGAGTATTCTAAATATCAGATATGTAAAAGCTTAAAAATGAGGACCACATTTTAATTCCACATGTTTGTGTAGTCCCATATATATTTTTCTGTGTACAGTGCTTGTTACTTTTACCAAGACTGGGCCAAACTTCTTACCATTTTGTTGATTCCAGAACATTGCAGTACACACCAGTACTTATTTGCTACATGATCAACTTTTTCTGATCAATTCCACACCGTTTCTTTCACAAGGCAATCCCATGACCAGAACTCAACTTTATCTTTAAGTTTTGGCTTGTAGTTTTGATAAGGCAATACACGCTTTTATACAACTACAATGTATATGTATCAAATACAACATCATCATTAATTGACGGTGTTGCAAGCAAAACTTACCTCTAATTAGTCAAAGAATCTTTCATGGCCATACCAAACTAGTAGAGAAAATGATCTCTTTCTCTTCCTTTCTCTCTCTCTCTCTCTATTTCTCTCTTACTCTCTCTGTACCCAACTCCATCTCTCTCTAGACTACAGCTTTCTTCAAACAAATAAAGTTCAAGTTTCCTTCAATTTAAGTTACACTAAATGAATGTTGGCAGAAAATCTAATCAGCCTTATTCCTTCCTTAACAGATTTCATAGTCACGTACAGGGCAAATCTGCATAATCCAAAATCACACCATCAAAGTGAGAATGCCACTTGATACATTCCTATAAAATTATCAATTCTTCGACTACTTTCAAGTACTACACATTCAATGGCCTACAGTCCTCCTAAAATCCCATAAGTACAGTTAATGAAAACAAAAAATCACTTTAACAAAAAGGAAATAAGGTTAAACATATATCTTTCCTCAAGAAAAGGGATTTTGAGACAACCTAACGGCCATCCATAAGCGATCTACTTCCCTGAATTCCTCTTTATTAACCCAACCCCTATCCTAACAAGATGCCCATTGGCGAGAGCTACCACTCAAATTTATTCATGGTATAAATACATAAATATATAGCTATTTTCTTTTTATTTAAATGTATGGATACCAAACCTTATGGGAACAAAACTTAACACATTTCAATAAACATAAGCACAGACTCCTAGTCATTTCCTAATCCCCCCCTTCCTTCCCATCTGCACCATAGTTACCTGAGCATGTTGCGATGATTACTTAAACGCAAAGCGCCACTCGGCTTGCTTCGGAGACTGATGCTCGTATCAAGTTGCCGGTGACTTGAATGACCAAACGGTGACCAAATCCAAAAGAACGCATAATAATCAAGCACTAAGCTCGTAAAAACTGCCCAATTTATTCTTTGCAAAATATGCTTTCCTCTACTTTCTGAGATTTACATGTATCTTCCATTTCTTAAGATTTCCAATTGGTTTATCCCCCAAAGATCTTTCCAATTTCAATGATTGAGGAGAGAAAATGGAGAAAAAATGGAAGAAACGGGAAGAAATAAAAGAAAGAACTGTTAAATATTGTATGAAATAAAGTTTTTTTAAATCCATGTCAGCTTATTACTCCATTTAAACCTATAGTTAGATTTACTACTGCACAGGATCTTTAAATTTAATTAAGCTCATATTTTATGAAAAAATTAAGACTTTTAGCAGGGCACTTCAAGGAAATGGGAGAACAGAAATACATAAATTCTTATATTTCCTTTTTAAAATTCCTTACGATGACACCTCTAATTTTATTTTTCCAAAGGAACCATCTAATACTTCACGACTGCACCATATGCAATTATCTACAAGATACACACAAAACAGGGAGCACTTGAAGATGACAATGGGTATAAAAATATCTTCATTGTTATTGCAATGCATGCTACAATGAAAATAAGGGAGAGAGCTTCGTTATAAAAGAAATCAATGTAATTGCTACAATATGTTTATGAACCAAGATAATTCTATTTTAATCCTGCATTGGGAGAAAGAGCAACAAAAAAGACAAAAAAGGGAAAAAATTGATGATAGCTGTTGGAAGAAATAAAGGAAAGAAAATGGAGAAAAAAGGGGGAAAATATCTGCCCATACAGATCACTCACTAGACTGAAGTATGGATGATCACCAAGGGATGAATCTTGAAGTAGGGTGCTTCATTTATGACTGCAAAACCAAGACTTAAAATTGGGAAGAAAATATCTCGCTCCAGATGAATGCAAGGCAATTCCAAGCAGTGATGAATGCAATAATGGACTGCTTTGCAACTGTATATTTATACTATTGTCAATGCTCATCTACATTTTTTTTTAGCAGCTTAGTTCCAAGTCAGTCCCATATGTAGAGATTGTAATATTTTAGAAACGTTCATACACATTACAACCAGAAAATAACATGCGTTAACCATTAAATAGCTTAAATTATTTCCTAGTTCCTACACCGCCCCCCCCTCCCCTACCCCTTCTCTCTGTCTCTGTCCCTCTCTTATTCTCTATGCACCTATAACTCACTCTAAACCCTAACTAACCTCTCTGTTTCAACCCAGACTCATTCTTAACATGATTGCCCTCCCCCTTCTCTCTTGCTCCCTCTTTCTCTCTTTCTCAGTCATTTTCAACTCTCAGGAATTCTAGTACTGATACAATGCTTATTTTCCTCTTTCTGGCTTAGGCACTTAATTATACATCTAAGTGTGCCAGCAGTAGCAGGAAAAAAAACACAAATCATAATGTTCTATGACTTATACATATGTCTAAAACTTATGTTTATAGATTTCTTTAAAAAAGTACTAACTAGCAAAGATACAAATACTAGATTAATGTATCACTTAAAATCTACATCCCCTCTTGAAAAAAAAACCTTAAAAGCACAACTTATAGTAATGTACACACTATTATAAGCAACCTGAGTTATCAATTATAACAGTCACTTAATCAGCACAAATCCTGAGATCAGAGGTATGAATAACAATCCCCTCTTATTGCATTTCGCTATAAAATTCAGTCCATATTCTTAATGTTGCTCACTTCTTAAAAACTCAATCAGAAACGCTACTGCACGAGTTTCTGACTCTAAATTGCTGCAATGAAATGTGGAGAAAATGCTTTCTATACCCTGAACTTGTACATTTCCATGAAGATACACAAAGAAGACTTAATTCTTAGTCGATTCCTAGTAAATGGAATAAAATAAAAACTTTTGTTTGGGAAAGAAAAAGGAGAGAAAATATCCTGTGCCCCGTTACGACCGTTGGCCTGTTCACAACTCTGATGTTATCTCATGGCTCCCGGATCTCCATAATGAGGGGGAAAATGAAAAATAAAAAGAACAAAAAGAGAAAAAATGTAACAAGTCTGCTACACAAAATCATCTCCTTTTTCGTTGTTGTTGAATAGTCTTTGTAAGGGAAATTTATCAAACCTAGAATGTATGAAGTAAAGTTTACTTTTCAAAGATTCTGAAAAGTTGATTACCTGATCATCGTTCAAGTAGTTGGGTAGGCCACCAATGAAGATCTTGTTCGGAGAATCTTGGACAACGGTAGACACAACACCTGCCATACAAAGAACAGGGCACTTTGATTATCGCACAATGTGGCTTCTTGACCCTACTTTAAGAGGATCTAAATTCAACTAAACTAAAGATTATCGTCAATAGAAAGTTGCATGGGGTTGTAGAGCAAATAAAATGTTTTGAAAAACAAAATTACTGATAACCATACATACTACAAAGACAGTACGGGTATTCACATTTTTGCTCCAATTGCGGATTTCATATCTACCATACATTTACCATCCAATTCATATCATTCAGTAGGTAGACTTTGACATTCAGCTTCTTCTGAACTATAGAGCAGTTTAAGATTTGTCTTGAACAAGAAAAAGGGAAACACTAAACAGGGCTCGACACTAGCAGGCGTCTGGGTTGCATGAGCCCTCAAAATCTAAGTCTGCCCCCCCCCCCCCCAGATGGCAAGATTTTAACATAGGGCCCATACTAATAGAATCAAAAAATGTAAATCCGGACCCCGTTCACAAAGCAATGAGAGTGGAGCCCTGCACTAAGTAATAAGTGGACTCACCTGGCACATGGACAGTGGGAGTAGCCGACATGCCTGGGATAGCCTGGTAGTCTTTGGGTCGACGGATCTTCAAGGCTTGGTTCTGGAACAGGATTCCATCAAATGCCATGGCTTGGGTGGTCTCTTCCACAGAACGGAACTGAGGAATACGATTCAGGTCAATGTCCAGGATGGAAGAGATAACTCGAGTTACTGGATCTTATCATTTCATTCATTAGTTTGACCATAATATATCCAGATTTTTTTTTTTTACATAATTTAATTCACATTCAGTAACATACCAAATTACTTGTAAAAACAAAGGCTAGGATACTCCCAAGATCTATTGCTCTATCACCTATTTAACAATAAAGGTTGTTACACAATATGTCATAATTACCAGTCAATACAATCTCAACTTGCAGTAAAACTTAAAATATCACCCTAAAGAGCCAAGAGTGATGGGACAGGTAAAGGACTTTCATTAAAAAATATTGCCAGCGTTTCTCTGGTGATAATTGCAGATTATATTTCATTGAGGGAACTGAGTAAAAACTTGGGATGTCATTGGGTTTACAATGAAGTTTAAGGTAAGGATTAAGGGTAGGGGTAACTATAGTGTAGGGTCGAGGGGAAGTTAGATATTGTGTGAATGTTTGAAATCGACCCTAGGAGCAATTGTCCTCCTAGCAAATGTTGAACAATCAGAGTCCTAAGTGATAATTCCATTACCTGATTGTAAGGAATTAAGTGAACTTACCTCAAGGAAAGCAAAGTTTTTATCGTGGTTGACTTGTACTGCTAGGACAGGTGGGCCTGGAGCCTGTGCTAAACCAACATTGTGCATCTTCCCATTGAAGAATTCAACCATAGCGTCCTGGAAGAAAGAAAGAAAGTAACCAAGCTCAGAGAAAACACAATTGTAATGGAAAACTCCTTTGTTTGTTGAATGAAGCTGTAATGATGAGTCAATGAAATGCACCTGAACAAACTAATTCATACGACAATTACACTCAATGTGCAAATAAGTCTACTAACATGTATAACAAACATTGTATATGTTAAATATATCTATACTGTATCCAATTTAACTCTTCATGACCTAATACATATTTCAAAAGTAGGCAAGACTTTTCTTTGTAATTTACCTCCGTGACTCCGAATGGAATGTTTCCAACATACAGCCTTCTAGCTTGTCTGGTCATCTGACTGCCCACTACGGGTACAGCAGGGGTAGCGGCGGCCGCAGCCACTGCAGCAGCCACAGATGCAGCTGCTGCTTGTGGGATAGCTGCAGGCATGGGAGCCTCAGGGATGATGGGCTGAGGTGCAACAGCAGGCGGGATCTGACCAGCTGGTTAGATAGTAAATCAGAACAAATATATCATCAATAAAAGCCCTTTTGCTTTTTATTCACCACCAACAAATGAACATCGAAAAGAAAGAAAAAAATACAACATTAAAAAATGGTGCAAAAAATTCATTCAAGTGTTTTGTATCTCTCATCGCCTCTTTCCCCAATAACATAAACAGTAAAGAATTATAATTTTTTGAGTAGTCTACATCTATGTATTCATGAGCTCTTGTTTGAGGGGAAACTTGATACAGAATATTTGACCAAGGAGCAGGTTTTATATAATCTGCAAACAAAAATACATCAAGTGTCCCCTCCCTTCCCTAACGACATGAACAGTAAAATTGTTTTATGTTAATATTCATGAGTTCTTAGTGGCTAGTGGCTAGTTTGATATCATCTAATTTTCTTGAGCCAAATGGCTTCCAACTTCAATGCATTTTTTCGGCTGGAAAATGATATGTATATTTGAGCATTTGAAATAAAAATATTGACGGAAGCTCCCTTCAATATAAAGTTGTAAAAATATGATTTCCTTGCAGTGATGTTTGTGTACTGTTTTTTTTAATCTTAAGTACTTTAAAGTTTTCTGAAGATCTTATGGAGCTTCTAGAGAAAGAAAGAGAGAGAGAGGGATAACTCCCGTGTATAATTTGTTTCCTTCTAATTGGTAGACTTACCTTGCATAGCCTTGTACTGCATTGGAGAAACATGCTCAAAGCCTGCTGGTGGAACATCCCAGTACTTGTTAGGCTTCCTTCGTCTCTTTCTTTGTTCACGTGGTGAACGACTAAACATCAGGAGGAAATTCAATATTACATGATCAATGACAGAATGAGGATTTTTTTTTGTACACGGTAAAGAATCTTTCTTTATCATTAAACAAAAGCTACATGTAGGCTACCACCAAAATATTCTTTTTATAGATCCGGGGGGAAATTATATCAACATAAACGGAAAACAGACCTTACATTTGGTGCATAATTACATTATATTCATATTAAAGCAATACAAACCTCCTCTTTTTTCTGTCTCTCCTTTCCCTGTCTCTGTCTCTGTCTCTGCTACCTGATCGTGATCTACCAGTGCTCTTGCTCCTACTCCGTCTCCTCCTTTCTCTGCTTCGGCTTCTTTTATTATCCTTACTTCTGCTCCTCCTATCTCTTTCTCGATCTCTATCCCGACTACGACTCCTTCTCCTCCTGTCTGCTCGTGGTACCCCAAAGAAACTTCATTGGTTATATTGCATAGGAATGGGAGATGCATACATGTGCATATATGAACATGGTAATTGATTTGCCTTGCGCTTGGTAAATATTTCATAGGACAGAAGAGGCGTAGACGGTAGAGCCAAATGGGAGATTCCCATTTGTCTGAAATACCTGACAAAATTATTTTTGTTCTCTGGCTCCCCTGCTCCCCTGTGATCTATTTGCAGTTTTGCAACTCTAAATAAGCGGGAGTTTCCGCGCTTGCGTGAAGTCAGAAAAGTTGTATCGGCAATTTGCATGTGTGAAAGTAAACAAGCGCTCTGATCGCCACCCCGTACTACTACTAGTTTGACTCCCGACGCTAATTCGGCTGAATAGTCTACTGATGCAAGTTAGGACGCTACGCGGAAATTTTCGCTTTGACTGCAACCCCCCCCCCCCCCCCTAATTTGCATTGTAAAAGGCTGCGTTGCGAAAACTCGCTACCAGTACCACCATCTATGGCTGGGCGGCGCGTGTTCAGAAACGTATCCAAAATTACTGTAATGTCTCAGATCCTCATTACGGTAGATAACTTCACACCGGCGCGTGCCTGCCTGTAACCCACCAAGCACCATCGGTATACACTTTTGTGCAGCGGTTTGCCGAGAAAAAGTGTATAGATCTAGGTCTAGGTCTAGTAGAACTACTAATATTATCGTTTTCCGAAAAATAGGGGTCTAGATCTAGACCTACTCTAAAAATAACAAGAAAATTCACACGAAACAGGTAATAATTTTAATAAACATAACAACTTTTAACTCATGGTCTTTATTTGGACATTTAATGAATATTTACTTCATTTTGGGTATGTCTTAGTAGGGTATCTCCACACCGGAGTCAATGTTAGGGGTCAAATTTTGGATACGTTTCTGAACAAGCGCATGCCTGCTGGGCCAGGGAAGGAAGGTTGACAAATCACAAATGTCAGTTTTTATTAAAGAATGAACCATACCCAACGGTTATTTCTGTCTAGATCTAGTGTCTACAATGTATTATTAGGCCTAGTCTAGATCTACTATTAAAAACTGTTCCAAGTTGTTGTTAGCGTGGCTACAGTTGTACGATCGATCTGATGCCAAGCCATCAGATCGATCGTACAACTGTAGCCACGCTAACAACACTCGCATTGCATTGCATTGCATTGCATTCCATGACAATACCCAACGCATTCTACTAAAATATACACAACCATCATCTTCAGTGCATGCGGTCCACCATTTCGCTTTAGGTCCTATGCAAAAATCGAAAAATAAAAATCATGTTACATTGCATTGTTATCAGTATTCACAATAAAATAAATCACATTTGGAATGAGCATAACAAGACGATAATCTGCAATTGGTTTACCTGATTTTCTATCGTCCTCATCCATGCTTAAATGGTTTATTACTCAAATAAGTTAGACGATTTTGCGTAAAATAAATGTCTCGCCTGAGCGTTGTGTTCGCATACGTTGGCATTGCGCCGTCGATGCTAAACCTAGACGTACGTACGTACGTACGCATTCAAGCGCGCGACCAATTCGGTCATCACATGTCGGACACAGGTTGGATGAACGCTAAAATAATCGCGTGCTAAATTTCGTAGCAGATGCGGTGGAGTCTTATCAGTCAAGATCGAGAGCTAGACTATATCGGATCATGGACCCTACCACCACTATCATACAGATGAGGAGGGGGGGGGGGACAGTTACCCTCCCCCCAAAAAAATCAAGCGTCGTTTATTTCTAATTTAGTGATTTAGAAATGTTGCTGAAATGACATGATTTTCCGGGGTTTTTTTCTCTCTTTTTGGTAAATTATAATTTGTTATGCGTTTGTTGGTAAATGACAAATCCCCAAATTTATAGTCAGGCAAAAAAAACCTTAAAGTGCCCCTTCTTACATAGGACAGGTGTCCCCTTTTACTTCAGATAAGCCACGGTTTTTTTAATTTCAAATAGGTGCCCGTGCCCGTGCCCCTTCACCTCTGATAATTACCCTATTCAAATCTGTTAATCTGAGAGGGTGCCCAATTTACTTTGACAAGTACCCTTTTCTTTTGTACAAAGTGCCCCTTCTATTCAGATAAGTGTCCCTTTTTATAACTAAAGAGTGCGCATTCTCACCTCTGATGAGTGCCCCCTAATTTAATTTGAAACGTGCCCCCTTCCCCTTTTCTTTCTAATAAGTACTAGTTTCCTTCTGAGAAATGCCCTTTTTAAAAATAAGATCCACCTTCCCTTCTCATAAATGCCATTACTCACACATCTGATAAAACTTCTATTAAAATCCCATAGGTGTCCCTTTTTCTACAAGTGCCAATTTTCCATTGTAATAAGTGCCCCTATTCATTTCAGGTGAGTGCCCCTGTTTAGATACTAGAAGTGCCCAGGTGCGTCGCTCTTTCTTTCTTTCTTTCTCTGTTTCATTAAATTATTAGATAAAGAAGACGATTCGTTCTACCGTTCTCTACTCTAAGTCCTTGTGTGAATTCAGTTTTCCCCTCTCGCGCGAAGCGCGGAAGCTTTGACGTTTTATTAAAATATTCCTTTTTATCCTTGTCTGAATTCAGTTTCACCCCTCACGTGCGAAGCAAGGAAGCTTTGACGTTTCACGAAATATTATAGAAAGAAGACGATTCGTTGTACTGTTTTCGACTCTTAATCCTTGTCTGAAATCATGCAGTTCCCCTCCCGCGCGAAACGCGGAAGCCTTGACAAGTAATTAAATTATCAGAGAGAGAAGAAAATTCGTTTTACCAACTCTTAATCATTGTCTGAATTTTCAAAAATGTTTCTTTGTCCGATTAAAAGTCACAGATCGGAGGGAGAGAAACAAAATTGCCGGCCGACCGACATAATACATCTCACCGACTTCAAACTTCTGCATTGATATAGTACACGAGGATCGAACAAGATACCGACACAACGGACCCGACACAGCAACATAATTACCTATGCGTATCTTTCTTGCATCCTCGACGAGGCGACTCCATACCCAACATCCCCCCTCTCGATCTCTCCTCTCTTTCAACCCCCCCCCCCCCCCGTTTCTTTTGTTTCCTTTTCTCCTTTTCTTTCTTTCCCTTTCCCTAGCGCGCGCTCTCTCGACAGCAGCGCAATTTCAACGACAATAATAATTATCCAATATCCTGACAGGTGAGGGGGAGGGGGGGGGGGGTTCCGCACCGGATGCTCATCTGACCGTTATTAAATACCTAAAATCCCTAAGCTTCCGGGCGCTACGCCCCCTGGACCCCACCAAGTGCCCGAAGAAGGGCCCCTGGATGCTCATCTGATCGTAAGTTAATGTCTAAAACCCCTGAGCTTCCGTGGGCTCCGCCTTTGACCCCCGCCGGGGCAAATCCCCTGAGCCCCACGCCAATTTACGCTCCACTCGCTTCGCTCGCTATATACGCTCGATCTACCCGATCGTTTATACTCCACTTTGAAGAAAAAATTCCGCGGGGCTGCACGTAACATTTCAGAGTGGTGGTGAGGTAACCCGACACATGCTCCGCCGACGATTGCTCCGCCGACATTTACTCCGCAAAACGCGACAATTGCTCCGCGACATTTGCTCCGCGACATTTGCTCCGACGTCAAATGCTCCGCCGACAGTTGCTCCGCCGACAGTTGCTCCGCCGACAGTTGCTCCGCCGACAATTGCTCCGCCGACAGATGCTCCGCCGACAATTGCTCCGCCGACAATTGCTCCGCCGACAATTGCTCCGCCGTCAATTGCTCCGCAAAACGCGACAATTGCTCCGCCGACAGATGCTCCGCCGACAATTGCTCCGCCGACAATTGCTCCGCCGACAATTGCTCCGCCGTCAATTGCTCCGCAAAACGCGACAATTGCTCCGCCGACATTTGCTCCGCCTGAAGCGACACTTGCTCCGCCGACATTTGCTCCGCCGACAATTGCTCCGCCGACAATTGCTCCGCCTGAAGCGACAATTGCTCCGCCGACATTTGCTCCGCCTGAAGCGACAATTGCTCCGCCGACATTTGCTCCGCCGACAATTGCTCCACCGACATTTGCTCCGCCGACAATTGCTCCGCCGACAATTGCTCCGCCTGAAGCGACAATTGCTCCGCCGACATTTGCTCCGACGACATTTGCTCCGCCCAAAAAGTGTCCCATAAACTACAAATGCTATTAGTACTACGACAAATGCTTCGCCGACAATATTTTCTTTACACCTATTTTTTTTCGTTTCTTTTTTTCTTCTTCATTTTCTGAATGCATTTCTTGAAATAATGTAGATGAAATGAAATGAATGAATGTTGATGAAGTGGGAGGAAAAAGGAGTTACCTAAAAGTCATTTCGAATATACTGAAATAACTTTCCATCTATCACTGTACGTCCCATATAATGTATACTTAACACACATTACATGTCGTGGGAAGTTTAAAAAAAAAAGTAGAGCAGCAAGCCACATTCCCCAATACGCGCATACCTCCTAGTTAATTTCAAGTAGCTCATCAATATGTAATACCTGAAATTACCTCGATCAATGCATCTTACTAGGTAAAGCATTATACAATGTAATAGGTCATCATGGAAGTTTAGAAAATAAGTAAGGGGGATTTACCAAGTGTTGATCTTTTTAAGAGTTTTATAAAGAAACAAAAAGATATTGAATATTTCTCAGCGAAAAAAAGGAACAAGCTTGTTTCGCATTTTAAGAAATGGCGATTTGACTTATGATACTCATGTTGATTTAACTTTTATTCCTGTGCCCCCTCACTCCCCTTTATGCACTGGAGTTCAAACTATGATTTATATGTGTACAGTGTATTTTTTTTTACTATGTTTTTTTTTATAACTTTCTTGTCCTTTCATTTTTGTTGGTTGTTCTTATACATATTGGTTTTTTTGTTTGTCTAATTATTACCAATGACTTGTAAATATGTAATTTTTGTATGACTGAAAATTTAATAAACACACAAATATAAAAAAAAAAGTTTAAAAAATAAGGGCACTTATATACGTAAGGAAGAAAACCCATTCAGACGGGAAAATGAGATGGCAGCCTTTCTGCTTATTCACATTTATACAAATCATTTTGTTGCAGTTTGATGTTAGTTCTTCATGATAAGCCAATTGCTCTTCTTCCGGTGGCTTCGTGAGTCCCTTAAATTATTTAGTGAAAACAAAGTACTCGAATGAAACGGAGTGTTTTGCACACTAACATATATATATTAAAGCTACATACACTTAACTAAAGGAAAGAAACCTTTAGAAAATGGACTGGATATTATTGAAAATATTATTCTAAACAAGAATGTACTACATGATTGTATTACTTTACGTTTCAATTTCACGAGGGAAATAGAACTCGAGAGGGGGAGCAGAGAAGAAGTGATGGAAATGAAAGAAGACTAATAGCATGAGAGGAAAGAAAAGAGCAAAGAAGACAAGAAAACGGTGTAAACAGGAAAAGGAGGAGCATGGGAGAGAGAGAAAGAGAGAGAGAGAGAGAGAGATAGCCTTGAGCTTTGGATCAGCTAATGAGTAATACATGAAACAGATTTTGAGCGGAGTAATTATCTTTCGCCGGAGAACTTGCGTAAGGAGCTATAATTTTATTTTTTATTTTTTTAAATCAAACATTATGGGGAATAGCAAAAAACGGTTGTCTTTTTTGCTCTTTTCTTTCCTCTCATGTTATTAGTCTTCTTTCATTGAGGTAATTTCAGGTCTTACATATTGATGAGCTGTTTGAAATTAACTAGGAGGTATGCGCGTATTGGGGAATGTGGCTTGCTGCTCTACTTTAAAAAAAAAATTCCCATGACATGTAATGAGTGTTTAGTGTACATTATATGGGACGTACAGTGATAGATGGAAAGTTATTTCAGTATATTCGAAATGACTTTTAGGCAACTGCTTTTTCCTCCCACATTATCAACATTCATTCATTTCATTTCATTTACATAATGTCATGAAATGCATTCAAAAAATGAAGAAAAAAAGAAAGAAACAAAAACAACCCGTGAAAAAAAATATTGTCGGCGAAGCATTTGTCGTAGTACTAGTAGCATTTGTATTTAATGGGACACTTTTTGGGCGGAGCAACTGTCGGCGGAGCAACTGTCGGCGGAGCACCTGTCGCTTCAGGCGGAGCAATTGTCGGCGGAGCAATTGTCGACGGAGCAATTGTCGGCGGAGCATCTGTCGGCGGAGCAATTGTCGGCGGAGCAACTGTCGACGGAGCAACTGTCGGCGGAGCACCTGTCGGCGGAGCATTTGACGTCGGAGCAAATGTCGCGGAGCAAATGTCGCGGAGCAATTGTCGCGTTTTGCGGAGTAAATGTCGGCGGAGCAATCGTCGGCGGAGCATGTGTCATGGAACCGGTGGTGATGCAGATTTTTCTTCTCTCATATTTAATCACAACAGTCATCACAAATTATGATCAGGTGAAGTGTTATGTACAAATTACATTACACTGGATTCTAATTTCTTATGGTCATCAGTTTCACAATATCAA